CATGAAGCCAACATAGGTGGAAGCAGAGACAAAAGAGAAAGACTGACCTCTAATGACACAACTCTATGGATTCTTCAGTTTCTGGACCAATAAAATCCCATTTTTTGCATAAGCCAGGTTGAATCAGATTATATACTCTCAACGGAATGATACCTGATTAATCTAATTGCCCAAGCATCCCTCATTTCGAAGATACTTCAGTACAGAGGCAGTCCCTCTACTTCATTTGCTAATTGGCTTATTTTGCTATATACAAAATAAATTTTTTGCTTAGAAACTTAAAATTGCAACTGAGAACACCAAAGCTCACTCTTTTCTAAGCTGAGATAACATGAGCAAACAAAAAAGATAAACAGACTACAAAGGCTACACCGAGAACAATCTGAGCTCTGATCAGCTTGTCCCAAACACTGTGAAGTTAGATTTATGCTTTAGCACTGAAGTTGCCACATTCTAAGCTGCTGATGCTAGTAAAAATCCACAGTGCAGAGTGTGATGCCAGGAGATAACAAACAGCAGAGAACTGCCTACTCAAACGTTTCTATAAACAACATTGGGGACCTTAGGCCCCCAGACTGCAATGGCAAGAAACTTCGGTATAATCCCCGTCCTCTGCAACCCAGCTTGCAAGTATCTACAAAGAAAAGTGCATGGGAAGAAAGCCACTGATATCACAAATATAGCATAGCTATCACATATACAGCTTGGATAAACACCATGGAAGAGAAAAAAATTAACAACCAGTTTCGGGTGTAGCCTTTTTTAAATTCAGGATCAATCTCCAAACTTCTGTGTTTTTAATATTCAGTGACTTTTCATTTGACACTTATATTTGACATATACTACAGGTTGGGATACTTATTCTATTAATATACAATTTCTGTCTCCCAGTAGACTGTGAGTCCCTTGAGGTCCAGAACCTTAAATCTGAAATAGCACCTGACACAAAACACATGCTCAGAAAATATCTGGTGGAAATTTATTAAAACATGAAATCCTTGGCTAGCAAAATTTTGCTTTCCTTAAAAAATAGTAGTTATCATTTACTGAACAGCTCCTATGTGCCAAGTGATGTGCTAAAAAACATACATATATGGATAATTTAGCTCACTGACTTGAACTGAGTTTATTCCAATCTCTTAACAATTAAGTTAAAGCTCTTCCCACTGCTGGACTTGAATGGAATGAACAAATGCATGAAAGTTCAAAAGAACATATTTTAGTTTAATCCAAGGAAGACAGTGTAGAAAGGACAGAGTTATTCTAAAAGGAACGAGCTGCCTCTGGAGGAACTGGTTATTGGAGAAAACCATGCAGAATTTCATTTAGCAAGTACATTACAGAAATAATGCAAGCACCAGAGGAGCAGTTTACATAGTCAGCCAGATTGGGAACATACTCTGAGCTCTGTCCTAGAACCTGGGAGTCTAGAGAAGTAGCTTAAGTTTGAGCAATGTCAAGGCCTAAAACTTCCTGTATTTCCTTATCTTATAAACTTGGGCTCCCCCCACCCCCCCGCAAGATATGCTATATTCCCTTATTGTCTCACTGTAATCAAAATGCTTACAATCTTTCCCCTTGAAGACCCAAAAGAGTTTTATAATGCTGACATTCATCTGGTCTAATGATAAAAGACATGAAGGATGTAGATCTGAATATGCTTTTCATGCCTCAGAATTAGCAAACCTCAAGACTGGAAAATATAGGAGAAGTTAAAGTAACAAAATTGATAAGTCCTTGACCCTATCACCTCCAGCTCTACCATTTTGATTTTATAAGGCATAGTATTATATTGAATGAAACAGATATTAGTATAAGACTGCATAAAGTTGTGATGAAATTTCTTTTAAGTCTTAGTCAGAATATACACTTCTATGATGAGTTTGAGGCTTTATAATACAAACAGGCACCTTTAGCTTATTTTGTTTGCAGCTCTTTGACTGCTTAATAACAATAAAATCTCCTAAGCAGCCATGGACTAAAGAACAGTATGCATAAAGAACCAGAAGAAATTAGTACTATTTGCCAACGATATGATTTTATAATTAGAAGACCCAAAAAGTTCCACCAGAGAACTTCTAGAACTAGTAAATGAATTCAGCAAAGTAGCAGGATATAAAATCAACACCCATAAATCAAAGGCATTTCTGTACATCAGTGACAAATCCTCTGAAAGGGAAATGAGGAAAACTACGCTATTTACAATAGCCTCAAAAAAAAAAAAAAAAAAACCCTTGAGAATCAATTTAATGAAAGAGGTGAAAGATATATACAATGAAAACTACAGAAACCTAAACAAAGAAATCAAAGAAGACCTTAAAAGATGGAAAGATCTACCTTGCTCTTGGATAGGCAGAATTAATATTATAAAAATGACCATACTTCCAAAAGCACTATACAGATTTAATGCAATTCCAATCAAAATCACAATGACATTCCTCATAGAAATCGAAAAAGCAGTCACGAAATTCATCTGGAAAAATAAGACACCCAGAATAGCTAAAGCAATCCTTAGCAAGAAGAATGAAGCAGGTAGCATCACTATTCCAGATCTTATACTATACTACAGAGCAATAGTAACAAAAACAGCATAGTATTGGCACCAAAATAGACCTGTAGACCAATAGTTCAAAATAGAGGACACAGAGACAAACCCATATAACTACAGTTATCTTACATTAGACAAAGGCTCCAAAACCATATATTGGAGAAAAGATAGCCTCTCCAACAAATGGTGCTGGGAAAACTGGAAATCCATGCAACCAAATGAAATTAAACCCCTTTCTCTCACCATGCACAAAATTCAACTTAAAGTGTATAAAGAACCTAGGAATACAACTAGAGACAGAAGAAAAAGTAGGCCCAAATCTCCATTGTGTTGGATTAGGCCCCAACTTCCTTAATAAGACTCCTATAGTGCAAGAATTCATATCAAGAATCAACAAATGGGATAGATTCAAACTAAAAAGCTTTCTTCTCAGCAAAATAAACAATCAGTGAGGTGAATATAGAGCCTACATTTTGGGGAGCAAATTTTTACCACACACACATCAGACAGAGCACTAATCTCTAGGATATATAAAGAACTCAAAAAGCTAAACACCTAAAAAACAAATAACCCAATCAATAAATGGTCCAAGGAACTGAACAGACACTTCTAAGAAGATGATATATAATCAACAAATATATGAAAAAATGTTCAACATCTCTAGCAAATAGAGAAATGCAAATCAAAACTACTCTAAGATTTCATCTCACTCCAGTCAGAATGGCAGCTATTAAGAACACAATCAACAATAAGTGTTGGCAAGGATGTAGGGGAAAAGGTACACTCATACAATGGGACCACAAGTTGGTGCAGCCAATATGGAAAGCAGTATAGAGATTCCTTGGAAAACTGGAAATGGAACCATCGTTTAACCCAGCTATCCATCTCCTTGGTCTATATCCAAAGGACTGAAAAACAGCATACTACAGGGACACAGCCACATCAATGTTTATAGCAGCACAATGCACAATAGCTAAACTGTGGAACCAACCTAGAAGCCCTTCAGTAAATGAATGGATAAGGAAAATGTGGCATTTACACACAATGGAATATAGGAGAATTAGATTAACTCTAGATAGGGCAAAGAGGAGGGATGGGAAGGGAGAGGGCATAGGAATAGGAAAGACGGTGGAATGAGACGAACATCACTACCCTAAGTACACGTATGAAGACATGAATGGTGTTACTCTACTTTGTGTACAACCAGAGGTATGAAAAACTGTATATGTATAATATAAATTGTAATGTATTCTGCTGCCATATATAACAAAATTTTAAAAATAAATTTACTTATTTAAAAAAATAAATTTAAATTACTGCAAAAGATAGGGCTTCTTTTTTGCAGTAACAATGACAATGTGCATAACTTTTCTTTCAGTCTGTTCCTTGTGCCTTTCGTGGGTTTTCCTTAAAATAAGTAAATAAACAAAAAAGCTTGCTACCAAAAGAGCCAGCAGTAGAGAAAGCAGAGTTGAATTGAGAAACTGAGTATACTCAGAGTGGGTGAAATTAACACTATGAAGTCCAAGTGTTGAAAAACATGAAAATGGAAGATAAGGAGGACCAAGATCAGGAAGAGCCTCATTAAAGGAGTGTTTATTCACCTAAAGGCAGCAGGCAGTCACCAAAAGACTATGAACTGGCAAGAGAAGAGTTCACACTGATGTTTAGATACCTTGTTTCAATTACTATGGGGATGTAGCTGAGTGGCAGGGTGCTTGCCTAGCATGTGTAAAGCTCTAGGCTCAATCCCCAGTACCAACCACACCCCCCCCAAAATAAATAAATTACTATGTAGATAGTGGACTGAGAGGGAGGAGAGGATGCAAGAAGTAGACATGAACAGTTAGAGGGTGTTAAGTAACCCAGGCAAAAGACTATGGCATCTTAAACTTAGCAACAGAATGCATGTAGGGCACAAAAGAAAGAAGAATCAAGACCTTAAGATACCTGGCATAGCCAAATGGATGGCTGATGGTACCATGAACTGAGATTGGTATGTGGTAGTCAGGATTGAAAGGAAGATGATTCAGTTTGGAACATGATGCATTTGAGATACCCACATGACATATAAGTAGAAATGCCCAGAGGGTAGTTGATAGGATATATAAAGGCACTAGCATTAATAATAATACACTTACTAGCCTACAGACTATAATTGAACCTTGAGAAAGGGTAAAATTACTCAACCCCTAAATCTAGGGCAAGCGCCTATGAGAAAACAATACCTTGCTTGATACCTTACTATTATAGTTGACACTTCATAACTTACAGAAGGTACCATATCCTAACCCAGGTAATATGGGTGTTTTGAAATATAAGTGAAATACAAATTCATCCATAGAGGAAAAACAATTCCCCTGACCCAAACATAACAGGTGGATTTGAGATCTAAAATCTCATCACAGCTGACAACATCCTAAGACATCCATTCTAACACCAAAAGACTCACCTGTCGACAAAGCCTCCTCACGAACATCATCCTCACCAGGTTGATGAATATTCCAGGATGTTTTGGGAAGTAAAGAAATTTCCTCAGGTGATTCTAATTTTACCATATCCATGTGGTTGCTCTGGAACTGGTATCGAGGTATAAAACAGATTTTGCCTTGTTGGAAAATGTCCTTGATAATCTCTTCTGTCTCAATTTCATCTTGCATGCTCAGGAAGATGGAAATTCTTTTGGAATTCTGATACTGACTGTGGGCCATCACCTAAACAGGAAATGACAGCAATTATAATTTCTAAGTTTATACTTTAAAAAACTAGAGACTTTTAAGAGTTTCTCCCTTCTCTCTCAGCCTTTTCCAACTTCTTTTAACTTTCCAAAAGAAAGCAGAATGTATAATAAGCTAGACAATGCTAAGCCCTGAAAATTGACTTTTAGTTCAGGACCCAAGACTTCTGATTCTTTTACCCTTTCTGGCACACCACTCTTGTAAGAATGAAAACTCATTAAAAAGTCATCATCTGTTGAGAATTGCAGTTTTGACCCTTACCCATTTTAGTGATCTCCAGTCATATCACATGCTTCCCCTAAAGTTTTTGTTTTATTCTATTTCTGAGCCTTGGCTCCCCAAAACTTCACTCCCTGTATTGTCAATTCCTCTTCTTCTAAATTCTAAACTAAAGCACAGATCAAGCCCTAACTTTTCCTACCTTCTGCAGAGCCTCACTGCATCTACTGTTGATAGGTAACTTAACACTTAATTCTGTATTGTCATGAGTTGATCACTAATTATCTATTAGTTCCAAATGTAGTATTCTGAACCAGTTCATAAGCTCCCCAAGGTCATGCCTTATAATTCTCTCTCAGCCCCTCTACCCCCACAACATTCCATTTTACGGAATGTTAAATTGTCAATTAAGATGGGAGTGGGGGTCATTGTAAAAGGAATCCATATTCAGCTGAATCATTCATCAAGCAGGAGAAGGGGGCTGAGCTTTGTTAATCATAAAAAAGTCAACAATCTAAGGAACTTGGACTCTCTTTTTTTTCTCCTTTCTTTTTTTACTTTCCCCTGTCCTCCAAGCCAAGAAAAACATTGCAAAAGCCTCTTATAAATATGACTGGCAAAAATACACAGGCATAGAAAGTCAAGTTATTTCTATTAAAAAGAGGAAAAGGAAAATTAAAATTAAACGCCAACTACTACTGAGGAAGTAAGTTAACTCCTGGTTTCTGAAAAGCTGCAGTTGCTGAGACCTGACACAGGCAAAGAAAAATGGAAATGTGAAACTCAGACTTTAGGCAAGCCTGAGGCTTTTAGCATTCAGGTGCTATAAGAGAAAGTTGTGTGTCTTGGCTGCCAGGTGGCTGAGGCAGAAGGATCACTGATTCTTTTACCCTTTCTGGCACACCACTCCTGTAAGAATGAAAACTCATTAAAAATAATAGCCTGGGCAATTTAGCAAGACTCTGTCTCAAAATTAGAAGAAGAAAAAAAAAAAAACTGGTAGACCACTTGCCTAGCATGCATAAAGTCCCAAATATCACCAAAAAAAAAAAAATGAATGAATGAACAGAATTTATCTTTCTTGTTCTCTAAAATGCAGAATATAGAAAAGCAAGAGCTGAATAAGCAGTAAGAAAGATCCGTTAAAATGCAGTGTGAAAAAAAAAATGCAGTGTGAGACTTTGCATATAATCTTCTTCCTCAAATCCCTTTACAGGACACTTGCAAAGAAGCATGAAAACAATCCATTATAGAACTGAGAAAAAGAGAATAGAGGATTGAATAATTCCTGTAAGACAGAGAGTGGATGGGACAGTATTTACAAACAAAACAGCAGATCGAAACACTCTGAAAACACGGATACAGGTGAGATAGAAGATATTCCTCCCTTAAGCTCTCCACCAAAGTGACTACTAAAGACAGAGGAAATCCCATAAGCTAATACAACTTCATCCATAAATAAGTACACACTACAAAGGATCAACAAATCTTTTGGAAGCCAAAATACAAAGTAGAAGAATAAAAAGGGAGTGAGTGGGGATAGCCCAATGGAAAACTGAGATAAGTTAAAGAACAGAGTTGTGGTTGTTGTTGTTCTTTTTAACTCTACTTAGTTTTCTCAAACTAAAAAAGATAACTGCATTTGTAAAATATCAAGAGACTGCTGTGGGAAGAAAGCAATCAGAGATTTATGAAATAATCATTGGAAATTAAAATTATGATTAGCAAAATAAAAACAATTTAGGAGAGAGTGCTGGAGAAGGGGAAATAAGCAAAAATAGGAAAAATGAGTAAAATGTAAAGAGACACAGAAAACCAACCTAAGGTTATTATCTGATTAACAAGAATTCCACAAAGGTGGGGCTGGGGTTGTAGCTCAGTGGTAGAGCACTTGCCTAGCACATGTGAGACACTGGGTTCAATCTTCAGCACCATATAAAAATAAATAAAGAAAGAAAGAAAAGAAAGGAAGGTATTATGTTCATCTACAAATAAAAAAAATTAAAAAGAATTCGACAAAGGTGAAAAAGAAATTGAATAAAGATGCCAATCTAGATTGAATGGAGGCCACAAGCATTGAACATGACATGGAAAATAATTTTAAATTTTAAATTCAAATTATCAATGAGGGTAAAATATTGTAATGCAAAAATAAATAAAAAGTTTACCCACCCCCATAGATTTTTTTTCCTGAGGATATACTGTAATAAGAAGGAAAAAAAAATTTAAACTCAGAAAATAGCCCTAACTCAGCAGAAAAGTAAGCAGAAATTCCAAGGCAACGGCTGTGCAACCAGATCACAAAGAAACAGGGGCTGGGATGCCTTGAAAAAGAAAGTGGATCTATATTCTAACAGGCAAAATGAAAAACAATCCATGGATAAGACAAAGGCATACTCTTGTTTGTCAAAAAGGTAAAAATAAAGGCAATTTTTAAATCCTGGAAATATACAGAGCTAAATTAGATACGGGTTCCAAACTGGAACAAAGTTAAAATGTGGCATGGTTTTGAGCGGATGCAAAGTAAAAGAGAATATACTGGGTATCAACATTTGAAATAATCCTCTTAACCACACATATCTAGTGAGCTAAAACTATATATCCTTTTTTTATATATTCAATTATACAACTTGGTTCTACTGTGAATATAATCTATAAAACAAAAATACTCTTAAGGTACTGTTCACCAAAATTTCAAGTTTGGAAATAAACCACAATTATCACTCAGTGGACTCATTACAGTTACAGAAAATAGTTTACATATAAAACTTGACAATATCAAATAGGTCGCAGAAATTGGCAAATAATATTAAAAACAAAGCGAATAAAGGGGTACTAATTTTCTCATCTTAGAAAGTCAAGATAAAACATAAAGTTGAATTTCTTTACCATACATTACTTTCCTTATAAAATTTTTAAATTATAAAAAAGGTGCTGTGCTAATAAATTTTTTTTTTATGATTCAGATAAAGACATCACTTAATAATACCTTTACTGAGAATTCACTAAGGCAAAACACTGTTCTAGTCCCAGTACACCAATTTCAGGACATGATCCATTGGTTGGTCATGAAATAATTAGTGAGTTATAATCAGTGTTTTTAAATGACATATAAAGGAAAATATTAAAGTTCACTGCATATAATAAGAGTCATGAAACAAAGTCCTTGTATGTGTACATGTGCTTATATGGTTTTTTAAATTTTTCTCTCTCCTTCTTTGATGCCAGTTCTTAGTTGTCACTCTGTTGCTGCCAGTAGTTCTGCCTCTATAAATCTACTATTTCCACCTAGAGTTTATGAATTATAATTTACAGACATTACTCTGGAGGCTGAGGAGGAAAGACTGCTTGAGCCCAGAAATTTAAGGCTAATCTAGGCAACACAGCAAGACCCTATTTAAAAAAAAAAAAAAAAAAAAAAAAAAAAACAAGCTTCTGTGGACACACACACAAAAAAACTGAATTTATTTTCCCTATGCCTCTCCAGAATCCACTCTAACTCCTACATTCCTTATAAATTCAGTAATGTTAAACTTTGGAATGGTGACCCTCTCCTTCCAGTACTGTCTAACCTCTATCCAATCAGCTGCCAAATTCTGCTCAATCTCACTACACAATCTCCCACTTATCTCTTTTCCCCCATTTTTCACTGCCCATCCTCTGGATTATGTCTTTATTATCTCTCACCTAAATTATCACAACAGCCCCTTCCTGGTCTCCATATTTTTTTTTTCTGTTTTCCCTCCCCAACCCATTATCCAAATGCTACCAATATATTCTCCTACAGGAGCTATTAAAAAATATTGAATACATTCTTTATACACCACTTCAATCTCACAACAGAACTTCAAGCATATTCAGAGAGATTAGGGGACTTGTCTAATATATAAACAGTTTGTTGGTTTTTTTTAAAAAAAGGAGTGGCGCCAGATTAAATCCAGATCTGTGTAGTTCCAAAGCTTATTTTAAATATGCCCTGCCCTCTCTTGCCTACATATCCCTGCAAATGTTTCCCCACCCCATCTTTCCCTTCACTTAACAAACTTCATCTATACTTCAAAGTTCATCTCAAGTTTCCAAATCCCCTGCCAAAGGCTTGTTTCCACAACACTGACATTTACCTTCAGCATATTCTAACTGCATTATAATTTTCAACTCATTTTTCCTCTCATATTCTCTACTGCTTTAAAGCAACAATTATCTTTCTCTTTCCTACAACCCAGTACATAGCAAAGTGTATAATGGTGTTCAATATGTGAATAAATTGGCTAAATTTTAAGCAACTAATATAAGGACAAGATTCTGTATCCTCAATATCTACTAAAGCACCTAGATATGCCTTCGTAATATTAGCTAAAATCATTCCATTTGAATGAACTAACATCTACAGACTCCCTCATGCATACCTACATTTATTAAGATGAAATGTGTGTACTTGTTTTAAGGCTTTACCCCATAGGAAACTTGAATTTAAGAAAATAACGGATCATAAGATAGGGTACTGGGGAAGGCAAAAATCATTACTTTTTTATTGTTAGGAATTACTAATATATACTTGATGCCCCCCTCCTGCATACAACAAAAACTAGCCTCCCAAACATCTTTAAAGCATGCTTTCATGATAGTGAATGTCACTTTATTAAGCTTTTCATAGCAAACTGAAAATGTACAGCAAGTCAGTTAGACAAAGTCATAAAACAAACGGGGAACCTCATTTTTCCTATGCCTCTCTTCTGCTTCCTATCTTCGTGAGAAGGCTGAGTAAGATAATCACTTCCTCATTAATTCAAAAAAAGGATTGACTGTTCACCCACTCTGCGACAGGAAAACGGTAGGCCTGGAGGCTCTAGACAGCTCCAGACGTCCACGTGCTGAGAGGGGAGAATTCAACTTGTCTTGCGTCCTTTGTCACCTCCCGCACCCTCTTGGGGTGTGCCTTGGACTGAACTAAACGCATCTTTCTCTGATCCTGTTACTGACATGCCTGGCCTCTCAGGCCGCTGCTCATTTTCCTTAAGACTGAAGGAACCTCAGCGCTGGGAACGTCCACCCATCTCCCTCACCGGAACTTCGTGTTCTGGCCCTGGTTTCACCTCAGTATCTCCACTATCCCCATTAAGAAGTTCTCATTCACCACAGGAGCCACCCATCCTAAGAACTCCGCTCCCTCCCTCTTCCTCATTAGTTCCACGACTCCACACCACATACAGCAGCCACTGCGCCTACAGCGCCTTCACAGTACGAGAAGCGAGTGTCGCGTGCGCGCGCCGGGGAACGTGCGTGCACCCGAGGGGACGTGCGCGCGCTCAAGGTGCTGCGCCTGCGTGGACCCGCAAGCCCGGCAAAGCGGAATTCGGCCAGTGAGTCCGCGGTAGCGAGAGCTACCCCGTGGCTTCGCACCTTCTGGGTCAGTAAGCGGGACTGGCGCAGCCGTTCCTCGACGCTGATTGCCCGCAGACGCTGCTTCAGCTCGGCCCGTAGGCTCCGTTTGGCACCGCTCACGGCTGCAGCCGCCATCCCGCCGAAGTCAGCCTGCTGGCGTCCTCTGGTTCGGCTCCCGCCCCTGGTCGAGCACAGCTGGATCCGCCTACCTGTGGGCCTGCGGATCGCGGGCCGGTACCACGCCCCCTGCGCGCCTCCCAGCCTCGGCGCTGCCTGATGGACAGGCCACGCCCCTCTCCGGGCCCTTGGTAGCGAATGGCAGTGTGCTCTATTGGCCCTGCCAGGCTGGTGTTCTGTAGCCCGACGCGGCCTAACTCTTCACCCCTTCGCCAAGGCTACAGAGATGGTAATACAACTGCGAGGGGTGCTCCACAGGCAGCTCACAATACACCCCGATTTGGTACTCACCTGTTGTAGTGCAGTACTGCACTGTAGGGGGTTAAAAACAAGGCTAAGGCCGGTGTCCTCAGTAGGCTATGCCATTAATGTAAACCAGACATATTTGTGTCTTTCCACAATGTCAGAGTTTATTGAATAACAAATTGAAAAGCCACATCATTTTCATGGGCTTTAATTCACCAAAAAAAAAAAATACTCCTGATTCTCTTGGTGTTATGACTGAAACAATCACAAATTCTCTTATTCCATTTCAATCTTAATTACATCATATTTTACCAAATTATGTGTGTGTGTGTGTGTGTGTGTATTACAAGAAAGGCTATGAAAGGGTTAGGTGACCACAGGGTTGCAAGAAGCCTTTGAAGAGCAGAGACAGAACATATACTCATTAAAAAAATCACTGCAGGTGGCTTATGAACCAGCCTAAGAACTAGTTCTGGGTGCAGAGCTTTCAGGGGATAGAACTTATTCTTCACGGGGGCAGACAGCAGGCAGTTTCAAAGTGGCCAGCCACATCAAGCAGGACAATCAAGCTAAGCTGAAGTCCTGGGGGTGGAGTTGGGTTTTCAATGTCTGTCAACCTCCTGATGTGTTCAGTGGATTGTCTGATGGATGTGATTCCACACCACTGTCTTAGGTGCCTCTCTTTTTATGTGAGGGAGTTGCATCTGGTAAGATTGATAAGCTCACAGTCCTGGTTTTTCTGATATGGGTTTGATATGTCCATGTGTCCATGTGCTTTGGATGTAGTTCAGTAAATTCACAGGTGGTTATTTTTTATTAGCACAATTTACTTATCAGTTTGTGCCTTATTATTGTGCTTGCAGCTGGTGATTGTTTACTTGTACAAACAAGTTTTAGAATCTTTCTACTTTGTATTCAATATGGAGTAGCTCATGACAATCTGCTGCTTTATAAAATGGAGTGACTAAGGGCTGGACACAACCTGAAAACTACTGTTATATACACCACAGAGTAACTCAGAGCAAAGCACAGCCTACTGTCCATTAGCAGGCCAGATTGAAAAATATATATGGTACCAATTGGAAACTTAACTTCTACTGGTTAAAGGAGGTTAAACACACTTGCAGTGCCTTCCTCTCTTTTTTTCAGTCAGTAGGTTTGTTTCTATGGACTGGATAGGTCATTGATGCAGCAAGTGACTTGCCCTTCTTAGACCAGGATGTCTCATCACCTCTGAAAAACTCAGGACTTCAATAAGTTACCCTGTTCATTCTAGTCTAGACTTCAACAATACTGTCATTGTAGAAAAATTGGAACTTGCTCCTACCATAAGAGCTCTTCAGAATCAGATGATAAGAAAATGGAGGCACCAAGTGGGTATTTGGCCCCAGTTGGGAGGAAATAATGTGGTAACAATGGAAAAAGTGGACATACAGAAGAGTCCATGTGCATCAGATTTATACCCCCATCACATGTTGACACCAGTTATCCAATGAATAATTTTTAGAAGGATCAATCCCTGGTACCAAAAAAAAAAAAAAAAAAAAAAAAAGGAGCTGAGTGTAGTGAAACATACCTGCTGTTCCAGCTAATCCATGGTCTGAGACAAGGAGGATTGCAAGTTCAATGTCAGTGTCAACAACTGTCTCAAAATGAAAAATAAAATGGCCAGGGGCATAGCTCATTGGTAAAATGTCCCAGGACCACCAAAAAAAAACAAAAAAGTTAACATTGTAATTGAAAGACTGTAATGGGAGCTAGCCATTCCAGACATTAAAACATACTAAAAGCCTCTGTAATTGAAATAGTTGAATGCCCAAAGAAACCAGTGAAATGGAATGGAATGTACAGAAATAGACCATTCCATTGCTACATGGCAATTTAATAGTTGATAAGGATGGCATCTCAAATCACTGGGGCACACTTGAACTTGTTAATAAATGGTGCTGGAACAACTAAATAGCTATATTTTTAAAAGAAAAATAAAATTACATCCATTGCTCACACTATGCATAAAAAAAATCCACATTGTTTTGGGAGTCTTGGGTAAAAGCTGAGACTATACAAGTACTAAAAGAAAATAGGATAATTCCTCTTTAACCTCAAAATAGGGAAAGGTTTTATCACTGTGACCCAAAATCCAGAGGCAATAAAAGAAAAGTTTGATAAATTTGATGACAAAAGTATTTTAAATTGGGGTGGCATAAAAAGTAAGCAAAAAGACAACTGACAAACAGGGAGAAAATATTTGCAACATGTGCTATAGACAAAGGACCACTTTCCCTAATACTAAATGTCTTACTCTTCTTTTACTATTCTAACAATACCTGAGATTGAGTAATTTATAATGAACAGAAATTCATCAGTCTACAGTTCTGGGGATTGGGAAATCCAAGGTTAAGGGAACTTTCCCTACAATTATGGTTAACTGGTGTTTTAAGAAGAGTGCTCAGAGGGAGGAAGAGCATGAGAAAAAGATTAACATTAAACAGGGACGAGAGGTGGGAGGGAAAGGGAGAGAGAAGGGAAATTGCATGGAAATGGAAGGAGACCCTCATTGTTATATAAAATTACATATAAGAGGGTGTGAGGGGAAAGGGAAAAAAATAAAAAAACAAGGGAGAGAAATGAATTACAGTAGATGGGGTAGAGAGAGAAGATGGGAGGGGAGGGGAGGAGGGATAGTAGAGGATAGGAAAGGTAGCAGAATACAACAGTCACTAGTATGGCAATATGTAAAAATGTGGATGTGTAACCGATGTGATTCTGCAATCTGTATATGGAGTAAAAAGGGAGTTCATAACCCACTTGAATCAAATGTATGAAATATGATATGTCAAGAGCTTTGTAATGTTTTGAACAACCAATAAAAAAAAAAAGAAGAAGAAGAGTGCTCAGGATAGCTGTATAAGGAAAGAACAGTCTTTTTCAACAAATGGTGCTAGGACATCTGAGTGTCCACATGCCAAAGAAGAAAGATGGACCTCTACCTAAAATCATATTCAAATATTAATATATAGCAAATATATCAAATATATAGCAAAAGCCCAAATATAAGAACTAAGGCAATAAAACTCTTAGAAGAAAACAGGCATAAATCTCCATTATCTTGTGTTGGCCAATAGCACTCAAAATATAAGCAACAAAAGAAAAAAATAGGTAAGTTGGAGTTCATCAAAGTGAAAATTTTTTTTTAAATATTGAAGGACAAAACCAGAGAATGAAAGGAAAACCTACAGAAGGGGAGAAAATGTTTGCAAATCATATATCTGAGAAGGATATATAAAGAACAGTATCCAGAATATGTACAGAACTATTAGGACTGAGCAATTAAAAAAAATCTAATTTTCAAGTGGTCAAAGATCTTGATTAGACATGTCTCCATACAAGTTATATAAATAGCCAAAAAGCACAAGAAAGATGCCAAACATCATTAGTCATTCAAGAAATGCAAACCAAAACCACAGAGAGATACCACTTCACACCTACTGAGATGGCTAGAATTTTTTTAAATGGAGAATACAAGTATTGGTAAAGATGTGCAAAATTGAAACACTCATACCCATGGAATGTCAAATGATGCAGCCACTTTGGAAAAATTGTTGAACACAGAGTTGTCATACAACATATTCATTCCACTCCTACTTCTAAACCTTAGAGAACTGAAGAATGGTCACACAAAAACATGTACCTGAATGTTCATAGCAGCATTATTTACAATCTAATTGCAGAAACAACCCATATTTTTACCAAATGATGAATGTACAAATGAAATGTGGTATGTCCATATATTGGAGTATTATTCAACCATAAAAATAAAACATTGATATGTGCTATAACAAGGATTGGCCTTTAAAGTAATATACTAAGCAAATGAAGCCAGACAGGGAAGGCTATATTTTATGATCTCACTTACATGACATTTCCAGAACAGGCAAATCCTTAGAAATAGAAGGGAGGTAAGTGGATGTTTGAGGCTGAGAGGCAGAGAGGAATAGGATACATGTTTTCTTTTGAGGTGGAAAGCATTCTAAAGTTAGACTGTGGTGATAATTGCACAATATTCTGAATATACTAAAACCACTAAATTGTACATTTTGTGGTGCCACAAAGTAAGAATGTGCTCAAAAATGGAAGGGAGCACGTTAAAAGGCAGCCAGGATCCAAATTGGAGTTCCCAATGCCCAATACTGGGACAATGTGGTGAACAAAATAACGATAATCTTATAGTCCATGGAATAAAATGGGTATCCATTTATATGAATGAATAAATAAGAGAGATGGGACATGCTAAAATTAGTGGGTGGAAGAATGATGAGAAAGAGAAATAGGACATTTTTGTAATCTCAAAAATATCTCCCCACAAGATACTTAATTTTGAAGAAACTTAGTAATCAGTGTTCACATCACCAATCATAAGGCAAATGTGATCCCTGATACCATTCCCTGAATAAGCCATGACTTCATATCTATGGTAATCTTTCCAGAAATGTAGAACTTCAATCTAATAATGAAAAACTATCAAACTCAAGTTGAAGGACCTTCTACAAATTCCTGACCAGTACTCTTCAAAAGTCTCAAAGTCATGAGAAACAAAGACTCTTGAAGAAGTGTCACAGATTTACTGAGCCTAAGGAGACATGACAACCAAATTCAATTTCACTGTCCTGGATTAAGCCCTGTACCAGAAAAGGGACATAAGTTACAAAACTGTTGAAATTCAAATAAGGTTTGTAGATTAGTTAATAGTATCATATCATTGTTAATTTTCTTGTTTGGATAATCAT